AACTCTCAGCAAGACAAGAGGGCTCAGGGTCTTCAGCTGTGCCAGGGGAGGTTTAGGTTGGACATCAGGAAGAATTTCTTTCCAGAGAGGGTGCTCAGCCATTGGAATGGGCTGCCCAGGGAGGGGGTGGATTCTCCATCCCTGGAGGTGTTTAAGGCCAGACTGGATGTGGCATCAGTGCCATGGGCTGGGAACCACGGCGGGGTTGGATCAAGGATTGGGCTGGATGATCTCAGAGGTCCCTTCCAGCCCAGCTGATTCTGGGATTCTGTGATGTGGGGAGCCAGTCCTGGAGCTTCCAGAGCATCAAAACACTCGGGTCATTAATGGTTCTTTCACTGCCTTAATCCAGAACTAATCCTCCCTGTGTGGTTCCTTCCTCCTGGGCTGGTTTCTGGCGGTGGGAGATGTGGATTTACAGCATCCAGTCCATCCAAGAGCTCTGTGCAGGGCTTCTCTAGAGCAGAAGGATGCACAACTGGGGGATAAATTCCTAGTGAGAGTTTCATTTTTTGAAGGATCTGTTCAAAACTAGCCAAACTCAGGGAGGGAAAAAAAAAATAGAAACAGCACAGTCAATGTTGAATATTTCAGAAGAATCGTCAGTAAAAAATGCTGTGCTTCAACTGCCAAAATTATTTATTTTTCATGTATAGGTCAAAATCTCACTTGAAAATAAACTAAAAGCGGCCTTAGGAGCATTAACTGACCCCTGGCCAAGGTTTCTCAAAGCAGTCAGAGCTTTGGAGGGTCTGTTGCTGGTACAAAAATACAGATTTACAGCTGTACAGAAAGAAGAAGTTGTGTTTGTGCAGAAATCTGAAGTTCTGTTGGCACAGGAACACGAGGTTGGGCTTGTGGTGAGACGTGAAGTTACAGCTGCTCGTACGTTGGCAACCTCAGACTTCTTATCAGGAATTCAGGGAGAGGGCCCTGGGCACTCAGAAATCAAATCCATTGAAGGCATTCAAGTTAAAGCCATTCAAAACCAGGAATTCTTGATGCTCAGTAGTTGTGCCTGGAAATTTCTGGGCCTTTGTGTTCCAATATTCAGAGTGTCACTTCCGAGATGTTGCTCCCAGCGTTTGATTCCTCCAGAAGCAGGTCACAGCCCCACCCTGGAGCTGTGGAAGGGGCTGAGGGGAGTTAAACCCACCCTGGAGCTGTGGAAGGGTTTGAGGGGAGTTAAACGCAATCCTGGAGCTGTGGAAGGGTTTAAAGGGAGTTAAACCCACCCTGGAGCTGTGGAAGGGGCTGAGGGGAGTTAAACCCAACCCTGG